GCCACTCCCATCTGGTCACATGGGCGGCAAGCCACTCCCACAAAGGAGGCCACACCCACAGAGTAGGTTCGAACCATTTTTGAAACCCACCACTGAACTGTTGGATCTTCCAAGTAATGAGCAATCTTTCCCTCTTCCCACATTATAGGTAAGCCAGCAACTGTGCCTGCTTTTCAGACAGAGCCATCAGAGAGACACAGTAGCAATGCGTGATGCCATTACCCACCTGGCACAGAAGAAACAAGAGGCTAGGAGGGCAGTTGCCAAATCTCAGCCAGCCGCAGAAAGCAGCAGCGAAGAAGAAGAAGAAGCAGAAGAAGAGGTATTGAATACATTCTTCTGAAAATTAAGATTGAGCCTGTGGAGCAAAGCTGCACACAAAGCGACTTTGGGAATCTGAACGAAATCTGAAGGGCTTTGGGACACCTTCTGCGGAATGCATTTGCCACGGAAGAATTATAAGATGATTCTGAAGCCAGCCAATCCTTAAAAATTGTGTTTGCGGGATTGTGAAGATTTAGTTTGCCTGGACCAGGCTTCTGCAAGGCTGGCATCATAAGGCTTGGTCACTTGGTATTGAAAATTAACCCAATTTTAAGATAAACTGAAGCTCTTTATGTGTTTGTTTTGAGTAAACTGTCTGTGTCAAATGGCAGGAGCCGATTAGTTTATTCAAAAAAAAAACCATGAAAAATTTAAGAGATTGATCATCTGTTGTTTCTTCCTCCTTCAGGCCATGGACTGCAGTGCTGGTTCTAGCATGAACGGAATACAAAGTGACCCATCTCCACTGTCAGATAAGACCACTGAAGATGGATGGATGTTGGTGACAAGGAAAAAGAAATGAAGGGGGAAACCTATGGCAAACCTGGACAGATGCAGCAGTGAACTCTTTGTGCTGCTAAGCTTTGAATTTTTCTGTAGGACGCATGATAGGCTCCTCCCACCGAAGCCTGGGCGCATTGGAAGCACTTTCTTGACTATCTTTGCTCCTGACAACAGAGGCTGAATGGAATTCAACTAGGCCTAAAGTATTTTTAAATCTTTACAGTTTCTTCCCCCTCAAAATTGGAAGATGTTCTAACCTTCCTGGAGTTTGACATGAACATTGAACAACCATGTAGGTTCTTGTGACAGAGGGAAGTCCTCTTGGTGTGTCGTGTTCCATCGGTCATCTTTTCAAGTCATTGGAAAGGAGGCCACTATTTCCCCTCCTTCCAGGAAGGCAAAATCTCAACCATCCTTAGAACGCAAAGAAAGGACTGCATTCACTCTTACTTCAAAGGGGGGAAAAAAGAGCGTAACAGAAAAAAATCTTGTATTTAAAAAAAAAAAGAACAATGAAAAACAAAATACAACAATGAAACGAAAAGTAAAATGGACAATACACAAATCATGATGGTAGGACATGGGAAGTTTTGGTCAAGAAAAGCTTCCCTTCCCCTAACCTTTGCAGTGGCCAGCCACTATACAAGAGCAACAATAAAATATTATTTTGGTAAGATTTTGTATATCCCTTAATACTGAGGCCTTTTTTTTTTAATATAAAAAGTTACATGCACTAGTTCTACACCACAGGAGGGCGAAGATAAAAGAATTCCATGGGTACCAACAGCAACACCAGCAAACCTACATAAAAAATAAGGCAAGGATTTGTTTTTGTTTCTTTTTAAAATCCCACATACACACACACAATCTCCACTCATTTGTATGTTTGAAACAGTACCAGCAAAAATAGGGAGGAAAGGAGAGGGATACCTCAGGGAATTTTAAGAACTTCCAAGATAGTCCAATAAGGCTCGAAAGAGAAGTCTAAAATGTTAACCATTTTAAGTGCATTGTGTCAAGGAGAGGAAGCACCTGCATTATTTTCAAGGAAAGTACTTCATCCGTTATTGTAATAACCACACTTTGTATGGAATCTCACGCACATATCTCCCATTACCTAGATCAGGAGTGATCCATGTTAAGCCAGCTGGGAACTTTACATTATTTGCCAGTGGAATACTGTCAAGGACAGTATTTTCCTGGGTATTTGATGCTGGAGACTGGCTGTTGAAAAACAGCATGAAGTGTTTCTAAAATTGCCAATCAATACATATCTCACTAATAGTTTTCCATTTTTTTTTTAGCAGTATTATGAAAACCAAATAGCAATAACACTTAGACTTATATGCCGCTTCACACCCCTCTAACCGGTTCACAGAGTCAGCATATTGATCCCAACAATCTGGGTCCTCGTTTTACCAAACTTGGAAGAATGGAAGGTTGAGTCAACCTTGAGCCAGTCAGGATCGAACTGCTGGCAGTCGGCAGTTAAAGAGTTCTGCAATACTGCATTCTAACCATTGTGCTACCACGGCTATGAGCAACTCTGTGAGCTATGAATTTGGCTATTGAAGCTTTTGCTTATATACCGTAGGTAGTTCTCAACAGTTAATTTAGTGCAGTGTTTCTCAACCTTGGCGACTTTTAAATCCTGTGGACTTCAACTCCCAGAATCCCCCAGCCAGCTGGCTGGGGGATTCTGGGAGTTGAAGTCCACAGGA